GGGTGAGTGTGAGAGTGTGTGTATGTGTGTGTGTATGTGCGTGTGTGAGAGTGAGTGTGAGTGTGTGTATGTGCGTGTGTGAATGTGTGTATGTGCGTGTGTGAGTCAGTGTGAGTGTGTGTGTGTATGTGCGTGTGTGAGTGAGTGTGTGTGTGCTGCCCTCTACAGGACACACACCAAGGCAAAACTATTTCATTAATATTGCATATTTCATGCACAGTGGTCAATCAAATTGTTTTACATAAAATTATTTAATAAGAAGAGAAAGGTAACAAATAAAGATAAAAAATGAAAGACAAAAAAACATTGGATGATGGCACTGAATGCCAAGAGTGAGGGTTTGATTCCCAGGAAATGCATAAAACCACAAAAACAAATGCTTTGAATATAATGCAAGTGGCTTTTGATAAAAGCATCTGCCAAATGCATGAATGTAAACAATATATAGGCAGTATATAATAGTCTGTTATAAGTTTTCTGTGAGGGTTACGGCAGTTTTTGGGGTAACGCATTATGAATTACGTAATCAGATTACTTTTTTCAAGTAACTTGTAAAGCAACACATTACTTTTAAATTTATAACAAAATATCGGAGTAACTTTTTTAAAATAAGTAATGCATGTTACTTTGTTTTCTCATTTATTGACTGAGAAATTACAAGTGAGATACAGAGACTCGAGAAATGAAAAAGGGCCTTTACAGCTGCCAAAAATATAACCTTTAGGTTTTTTGTTATTAAAAACAAATAAGCAAGCTCAGCCCATGTAAAAAAAAAAGAGTAACGCAAAAGTAACGTAATACATTACAATATTGCGTTACTCCATAAAAAAAACGTAACTCATTGTGTTACTTAGTTACTTTTTTATGGAGTAATGCAACATTGTAATGCATTACTTTTAAAAAGTAACTTTCCCCAGCACTGGGTTACGTAGATATAAAAGCATACTGAATATTATGGTGTTTTCCCATTTTAATAGCAGGTAAGTAATGAAACATCTGTGATGATCCATCCAGTCAATAATCTCTTCTCTTCTCTTCTCTTCTCTTTTCTTCTCTTCCTGAAGGTGTGTTTCTCTCAGTCTGCCGTCTCACACTCACACATGGGTTTAAGGCAGGTTTCATTGTCAGTCTTCTTCGCAGTGCAGAGAGAAACACTAAAGGTTGAAATGTTGCTGGTGCAATATTCAGAAACACTGTTTACAACAATACAACAATAAATACCCAGATTTCTACAACTGAGTGCCTTTCAGTTCACGAGTATGAATGTATTGAATGGTATGAGTATGAATTCGGGAAGTTGAACTAACAGGAAGAAAAATCACTGACTTGCGATTCCCAGAAAGTCGACACAGTCACACAACAGACCGATTTCATTAGTCACAACAGCACAAAAATAAAACGGGTAATTTAATTCGGATATTGCTAGTAAATTTTCCACATATTTTCACATACTTAGAACACCCTAGCAACCATATAGCAACCATTAACATGACAGAAACTGCATAACTGCACATTTACAACTGAAAAATGAAAGTTAATTTAAATATATACATAAATTACATAAACACCTATAGGAGACATTCCAATCATCAGTGATTAAAACTGTCTACTGTTTCTTGAAGAAGCCTATATGTTGTGTGTAAAAACGTGTATGTACTTCACACATACATACTGATATACTCTTACAGCAGATGCATTTTAATTCTGCTTCCTTCAGTTCAAATTTGAAATATGATATAGATAATATTGTATCCTGTTTCCTGTATTGGACCTTTAATACAGTCTGATATACACATATTACAAACACAAACAACAGTCTAAGTGAGCATGAATCAGCTAGTATAACAGACTGTGTAAGAGACTGATTACAAAAGGTGACTAGTGCAAGAAACATAATGCAATATTAATGCAATAATACATTGACTGATTGTGTCGTCCAGTTCATTGTTTGTGTGTGTGTTTCTGCTGATACTTTTATTGTTTCATTTTCAGAACACCCAGCAACTGCATAGCAACTACCCAGAACCCCCCAGCAACTGCATAGCAACTGCACAGAATACCCCAGCAACCGCGTAGCAACTACTTAGAACACCCAGCAACTACTCGGAACACCCCAGCAACTGCATAGCAACTACTTAGAACTCCCAGCAACCACATAGCAACTACTTAGAACACCCCAGCAACTGCATAGCAACTACTTGGAACACCCCAGCAACTGCATAGCAACTACTTAAAGTTTGAGTTGAGTTGAGTTTAGATGAATATTTAGAACCCCCCCAGCAACCACATAGCAACTACTTGGAACACCGCAGCAACTGCATAGCAACTACTACGAACACACCAGCAAACGCATAGCAACTACTTAGAACACCCAGCAACCACATAGCAACTACCTTCGAACACCCAGCAACCACATAGCAACTACCTGGAACACCCCAGCAACCACATAGCAACTACTTGGAACACCCCAGCAACTGCATAGCAACTACTCAGCTATGCTGATGATACCCAGATTTACCTAGCCTTATCTCCAAATGACTCCAGCCCCATTGACTCCCTCTGCCAATGCATTGATGAAATTAACAGTTGGATGTGCGAGAACTTTCTTCAGTTAAACAAGGAAAAAACTGAAGTCATTGCATTTGGAAACAAAGATGAAGTTCTCAAGGCATAGCAACTACTCGGAACACCCTAGCAATCTCATAGCAACTACTCGGAACACCCTAGCAATCTCATAGCAACTACTCAGAACACCCCAGCAATTGCATAGCAACTATTCAGAACACCCCTGCAAGTGCATAGCAACTAATTTTTTTTCTCTTTTATCCTTCTCTGTACAGCACTTTGGTTCCACTTGTGGTGTTGAAAGTTCTCTATAAATAAAGTCTGAGTTGAGTTGAATACTTAGAACTACTTAGAAATCCCCAGCAACTACTCGGAACATGCCAGAAACCGCATAGCAACTACTTAGAACACTCCAGCAACTACTCAGAACATGCCAGCAACCGCATAGCAACTACTCGGAACACCCCAGCAACCGCAAAGCAACTACTCAGAACACCCCAGCAATTACATAGCAACTACTCGGAACACCCCAGCAACTGCATAGCAACTACTTTTCTCTTTTTTCTATCTCTTTTATCCTTCTCTGTACAGCACTTTGGTTCCACTTGTGGTGTTGAAAGTTCTCTATAAATAAAGTTTGAGTTGAGTTGAGTTTAGATGAATATTTAGAACCCCCCAGCAACTACTCGGAACACCCCAGCAACC